TAGCGATTGACCCCGTGCACACATTTCAAAGATGAAGACAAGGTACTACTTACTTGAGCAGTTTAAAAAAAAAAAAAAGTCATTTTCTAATTCGGTATCAAAAGAGTTGGGCACTGGCACTGGCAGAGCAAGGGCATTACGGTCCACCCTAAGTTATCTTTATTGCCGCCAGTTCCCTGGACGTCAGGAAGGACGAGGACTGCTCTGTCCTCTGGTGGATGGTGCAAAATGTCCAGTCTGCTCTGGCCTTGACCTCTGGGCATGGAGGCTTAGGGGGGCGCTGCTGGGAGAGGGGCTGTGGTGGGAGCTTCTGCAACTCAGGGTGGGATTTCCTGGAGCTTCTGGAGCTCAGACTAGAGCAGAGGAAGGGGGGCGGGGGGGGGGGAGGGAGGGCTGGTGCTAGGCTCTCACGTTCATTCTGACAAACAGGCCCAGGGCCAAGTCCTTCCCTTCAGAGTTACTCCAACTTAATCTCTAGATATGAGGAAGGTGTTGCGGAAACAAGTGCACAGAGAGTGTCGCTGTTTAACTCCACATGCACACACTGATGTTCCTTGTGAAATTAGGGACTGTTGTTTGGGGTAACAATTTAGAAGCCTCGTGGCAGAGAAACTGATATGTTTTTGTTTTCATCTTTCCATGGGACTCTCCCCACAGCTACCTGAACAATTCTATACAGCATACTCTAGCTCAGCCGTGGGCAAACTACCGTCCGCGGGCCGGATCCGGCCCGCTTGAAATGAATAAAACTAAAAAAAAAAAAAAAAAAAAAGACTGTACCCTTGTATGTAATGATGTTCACTTTGAATTTATATTAGTACACACAAACACTCCATCCATGCTTTTGTTCCGGCCCTCCGGTCCAGTTTAAGAACCCATTGTGGCCCTCGAGTCAAAAAGTTTGCCCACCCCTGCTAGCTGCTCTCTAAACACGCCTTGTGGAGGACGAGTGCACGCTACAGATAGGGGTAAACCTTAAGGCATAAGTTTCAGTTATCTCAAGGAAAAGCTTGGCTCCCGAGATATTAAGTTTTCCATCTTCACAAACAACAATGGCAAAGGACAGAATTCCTGCCGGTGCAGCTCAGACCGCTCCCCTGAAAGCGAAGAGAAAGGTCAGCATTCTCTCGTCCCCACCCCACCCGCTTCAGCGAGCAGCCTGTGCCGGTCTCGGCCCCCCCCTTCCCCTCCCCCCACCCCCGCCCCCGTGGTACCTCCGGGGCCTTGAGCCTCAGCACGACTCTCCTCGGAAGCGCTCCTACCACCCTGGCCTGGCTGCCTTGCTCCCTTCCCAGCCAAGTCCTTGCCAAGTTACACATGTTGAAAGGTTAGTGTAGCCAACAATGGCCACTCTCATCCCCCGCGGAGGGCAGCTGGGCCGAGCCCAGGGTCTCCCTTCAGGAGACCTGAATCGTCTTCACTTCACTTCCTGGGGAGGTTCAGGTTCCTAACCCACCTCCCAAGTATCCCGAACGCCAATGGTCACGAGACAAACGACTACACAGCCCTCCTGAACGCCTCATCGATACTTCAAGCGCTGCCCTGTGTGCACGTTAGAACTCCATAAAAATAAAAGTTAAAAAGCAGCAGGTCCCTAACCAAGGACTTGAGCAACCCCGCGGAAGCCTTCCTCCTACTCCGCACCAAAAGGAAAGGGGCGGGGGGCTGAGCCGACCCTCCCGCGGGGTCCAGCCCTAACCGGAGGTTCCAGCGAGCATGGGTGAAGCCCCCCCCCCCCCCCCGCCCCGCTGCGAGGTCGCCCCGCCGAGGCGCCTAGGTCTGCGGGCTGCCAACCTGTGCTCAGCTTCGCCCCCCTCCGCCGACTCCCCTCCCACCTTCGCGATCCCAACTGCGACACCTCCCAGGGCAGCAGCGCCTAGGGGCCACCCGCGGCACCGCTAGGCGAGTCCGCTGACTGCCATGGCTTTTCGTCTACGCAGTAAGCAAGTTTCATTTCCACCAGGGGCGGAACCAGGTCGCGGACAGCGTCTTCCCGAGAAGTTGCCGAGAGAAGCGCAGCGCCCAAGTCACTCGCCTGGGTCACTCGCCTGCCCACGGTGTCCACAGGCTGGTGTGAGTCCAAGAAAAGTGTTACGGTTTCCGCCAGGGCCCTGGCACCGGGCCTGGGGGGCGCCCCCCGCCCTCCCTCCCACCCCAGCCTGATACCAGCCCCGGCCGCGGCGCCTCCCCAACACGCCGCACTCGCATTCGCGCTGCGTGGGCCGGAGCGGGCGGACGCGCCGGTGGGAGCGCAGGTGCGAGCCCGAGAGGCTGCAAGCGAGGAGGGGAGGGGAGGGGGGCCGGGGCGCCGGCGGGCTCCGGGCGGGAGCCCAAGGCCCCCATCACGTACGCTTCGGCCTCCGCGCGGCGCCCGGCCAGCGCGCAGCCCGCGGGACGCGCGCGGAGCAGGAACTCGCCAAGTTTGCCAAGCCCGGGCCGAAGTCTCTGGAAAGTTGCGGCTCCGTCTCAGAGCGGCTCGCCGGGCCCACGGGGACAGGGGGTGGAGGGCGGCTGCCAGGGAGGGAGCAGCGGGGGAAGGGGGCACCGGGTCCCGGCACCTGTCCGCACCCCCCCCCCTGCCCGCGGCCCCCAGGGGCTCCGCCAGGACCTGAGCTCCGCTCGGCCGGGACAGACCCCCGAGGGCAGAGCGCGCGGCTCTCGGGAGCCGCCGTACCCTCGCCCCCTTGGAGGAGAGGTGCCCTGGACTCACCTGAGCGGCGGAAAAGGAGACGACAGACGCAGGTCCTTGGCGCGGGCAGCCCCCCGACAGGAGCGGCGAGGTCACCAGGGGCCCCAGGCAGCGGCACCAAGTGAGCCTCTCGGCCGCCGCCCCCTTCGTTCTTATACGGCCTGACCACGCCTCCGCCCGCCGCCCCCGCCCCTGCCCCCGCCCCTAAGCCTGCCTCCCCGGGGAGCGCGGGGCAGGGCTGGGCGGAGCCAGCGCCCACCGGATCCTTCCGCCTGGACGCTGACGGCGAGGGCCGGGCCAGAGGCGCCCTCTGATTGGCTTCTCGGGTGAATGGTTGCCTGGAGACGAGTAAATCTTCGGCGGTGGGACGGGGTGAGGGTGCCCGAGAAGGGCACTGCGCAGGCGCAATAGAGAGGGGCTGCGCTGACACCTCTTAACTTCGGAGTTGCTGGGACGCCTTCTGTCTCTACTTTCCACTGCGCTCTTCTCGGCGGTTCCTATCACCCAACTCCGCCCCCCGCCCCCCCAGCTTCCCGCACCTCCGTCCCGCTCCCTCGCCGGCCCGTTTTCCTCCTGCTTCTCTGGAAGTTTCGCGTTGGTCCTCTCTTTGCAGGAGTGGGGAGTGGAACCCCCACGCCTACCTCCGGGGTGTGTTTTGAAGTCGGAAAAAAAAATTGTATGGTTTCTGAGCGGAGGGAGGCTTCCTGGTTCCCCAGGCAAATTGGCTGCAGGTCGTTGGGGAAGGAGGCGGCGCAGTTGGTTAACCACCTGTGCGCAGTGAGCGGGGCTCAGGGCCTCGATCGAGGAATCCCTCGCCAAGCCCGGCCGGCGCGGCAGCCCCAGCCCCACGCGGGGGGCCCCCGGACTCGCGCGTGTTAGGTAACACGCGGGCGGGGTTTGGACGCCACCCACTCAGTCCGCAGCGAGCGGTTTGGAGTCCAGGTTGTACATTCAGAGAACCTGGGAAGGGATGTCCATTCATCACCTGACGATCTGCAAGGCCTGGAGCAACTAACTTCACCCACCCGCCCTCAGTCTCCATCTCCTCACCTGGACGTGGGACTGACACGGGAACCGCGTGGTAGGGTTACCTAAGTCTTAAATAAGAAAAGGGGAAGCTCGTCGCGCATGCCCCATATCAGGTGTGTGGTCCGTGTTATTGATATAAAATAGTAACTGTTGTTGATCCATAAGCATTTATGGAGCTTGTACTGATGGGAGAGAAGATTACTTCTCGGGAGGCGGTATTTCCGTGCCGGCCCCTCCCACTGCCGCCTGAAATGAATATGCGCTCAGTGTCTGCCAGGACAAACAGGGTTCTCACATACATGCCTTCCCTGGGAGGGGCGGCTCCTGAAACGTTAAGGAGAGAGGAGACCAGTAGGAGTGGCTGTAGAAAAAGCCAGCGACTATTGCAGGACATGTACGCAGGTGAGATGGTCTATGTGGGTGTTTTGTGTTTTGTTTTTTTTTACTTTCAGTTTTTGAGGTATAAATTCAGTAAAGTGCACAAAGCTTATGTGTGCAGAATGATGCATTTCTACATATGTGTGCACCCATGTAACTGCCACCCAGATCAGGACATTGGCACTCTCCAGCTTCCTCGTGCCCCTTCCCATCCAGTGTCCCACGAGGGTAACCACTGTTCTGACCTCTATCGCCATATCTTAGTTTTACCAATATTTGAAATTGATATGGGTGGCTTACACAGTGTGTGTACTTTCAGGTCCGGCTTCTTACGCTCACTAGTGTGTCTATGAAATGCGTCCATGTTGTTGCAGGGAGCAGCGGCTCATTCCTTTCCAATGCAGTGTATTATCCCATTATGTAAATATTCAGTAACTCATGTACTCATTCTACTGGTGGATGTGTGGTTTTGCCTATCACGAATGAAGCTGCTTACAAATAATCTTTTTTTCCAGTTTGAGGTATACTTGACAAAAACTGTATATATTTAAAGTGCACTACATGATGTTTTGATAGTGTGAATTGATCACCACAATCAAGCTATTAACACATCCATCATCTCACATAGTTACCGTGTGTGTGTGTGTGTGTGTGTGTGTGTTGAGAATGCTTAAGACCAACTCTCTTAGCAAATTTCAAGTAGATAATACAATGTTATTAGCTATAATCACTATGCTATATATTAGATCCCCACAACTATTCATCCTATGTTTATGCCCAGGACTGAATTGTAGAATGATAGAGTGTACACATATTAAGCTTTAAACAGACTGCTAAACAGTTTCCCAAAGAGGTATAACAATTTATATTCCAGCCAGTGATATGAGATTTCCAGTTGCTCCACAACTTTGCCTGGTATGGTCAGTTTGTTTACTTTTAAAAAGGGAGTGTGGATTCCATTGGGATTTAAATTTACATTTCTCTAATAATAATATTGAGATTATTGATAATAATTAATAATATTCAGATGCTTATTGGCCATTTTGATATCCTTTCAGTAAAGTGTCTGTTTAGGTCTTTTGCCATTTTCAGGGGGTTGTCTGTCATACTGATCTATGTGTCCTTTGTCCAATACATGTATTACAGATATCTTCTCCCCGTCTGTGGCTTCCTTTTAATTCTCTTAATGTTATCTTTTGATGTACAGAATTTCTTAATTTAAAAAAATCTAATTAATCTTATTTTTATGAGTAGTGCTTTTTATGTCCTGTTTAAAAAAATCTTTGTCCTAGGAACTTGATTGTTTTAGCCTTCACATTTAGGTCTATGATTCCTCTCAGATTAATTTTTTGTGCAGCTTGGGGTCAAAATTTATTTTTCCCTCATGGATATACAGTTTAGTTCAGCACCAACAGCACATAGTTTTGTTCAATGAATGAATGAATGAATAATGAATGAATGAGTGAATTGCCAAAAAATGCAGTTAGGAGTGACTGGTTACTTAAAATGCAGATTGTCCAAAAAATCCAGCATACACAACCACCTTAAAATGAATGCAGATTATTACATTCCGTTGGCCTTTGGACCATTTCTACTTTTTCAGTATCTGCCATTAGCACAGGTAGCCTCAGGGGAGAACACAGGTCAGAAATTCTTACCTAGAATTTGATCTAGCAGGGGTTGGTTGGTTCTACCTTTGTTTGGATAAAATTTTGTCCAGCTTCCTGACCATTAGGCAAGTTTGTGGTAGGTAAGAAGGGAGAGCCATGAGCCACAAAAGAAATTCATTATTCATATGTGTGTATACATTTATCTTTGGGCCCTTTTTTATTTCTGGGGCATGACGACTTTTCTAGAATTTTGTTTCTATTTGTGTGTGTGTGTGTGTTGTTTTTTAAAATACACAGTGTTCTTTCTACCTCATAAAACTGTGGCACCCTGTGCGGGGAGTTTCAGGAAGTCGCCAGGTACTGCCCACTGGCCGTGGAACCACGTATTGAAACTGTCCTTCTGAGGTTATCGAAGCCTCCTTCTTGCCCCATTCTGGCCTCAGCTGGAGCACATCCAATCAAAATGGTTTCAAGACCTTCGCATTCTGAGTGCTGCTTTGATCCGCACCTAGGATTGCCGAGGAAAGAAAAGCAAAGGCAGGAAAGTCTTCAAAATGCAGGTTGTGCCTCACTTGTGGCCACGACCGTGAAAAAATGTTATGTCTCAATAGAATCTTATTTAACTCCATGGGGAAGCAAAAAAAAAAAAAGTTTCTATTATTAATCCTTTTTGTAAGGCAAGAAAAAACTCTTGTTTAGTGCCCAGCTATCCTCATTTACCAGTTTAAGTCTGGAGTTTTTGTATTACTTTATTTCTAGGTGGATCACCATGCTAAGTGTTTATTAAAATGCCCTGGTTAAAAGATCTTTCTAAAAATGATTTTTAAGCAAAGTTTTTTATTGCTCTACATTGCCATATAGAGCATGGCATCCAGATCATAAGAGCACAGCTCAACCATTTCCACAAACTGAACCAACCTGTGTCCTGAAGCAGCAGCGCAGCCCGCGCGACCCTGCCTGGGGCCTCCACGTGGCACTGTCCCCTTAGCCAGGCTCCGGTGGGCGAGGCAGGGCCTGCTTTCCACTCCATCTGGAACTCCCAGCAGTGAATCCCGGTCTCTTCCCGGGCTTCTTCCGGCCACTGTTGTTCTTGGGTGGTACAGAAAGAACACTCGTTTGGGAGTAAAAAGGTATAAGGTTTTTAAAAAATGTATCTTTTTATTGATTTCAGAGAGGAAGGGAGAGGAGGAGAGAGAAGCATCAATGATAAGAATCATGGATCGGCTGCCTCCTGTACGCCCCCTGCTGGGGATCGAGCCTGCAACCCAGGCATATGGCCGGACCAGGAATCGAACCGTGACCTCCTGGTTCACAGGTCCATGCTCAACCACTGAGCCACGCCGGCCAGGGGAAAGGCGTAAGTTTTATTTGGAGCAAAGCACAGAAGGAATGAACCAAGGACTGGTCAGACCTGATGGGCAGGGAGGGGGAAGTGGGCTCGATCTTTGGGGCAGTTCTGACAGCAGAGACACTGGGGCACCAGGGCATCAGGAAGGGAGGAAGATCAGGGCCCAGAAAGGGGGGAAGGCGGTGGTGGCACTGCCGGAGGAAAGAGGGTGGGTGCTGAAGATGCTGAGGGATGTCTCTGGACCCGCTTCCTGCCCACCTCCCTAAGGGTGTCCCTGGAGGAAGGGGGAGGTTGGGTCAGATGGCTTGCATCCCTGTCAAATGGCTTCCCGATCTGAGTCTCGGCTTCCTCATCCCAAACGGGAACGGTCATTAGCCTCCCTGCTCCACGGAGGTGTGTGCTGGTCACACGAGGTAGTGAGCCCTGCGCAGGCCCTGGCCCCGTGCACACAGTAGCTCCCTTCGCCAAACGGGGCCCTTTCTCATGTTACTGTCAGGACAGCTTGGCAAGCAGGTGGGCGGAGAGGAGGGGAGGGTGAATGCCCCACACCTGGCTGTGGCGACCGACCGTCACTGCTGAGGCCCCAGGTTTCTTATCTGAGGATTAATGCTTTCAAATCTCCCTTCAGGGAAAAGAGGTTCCGTGGATGTGTAAGTTGTTAACGGATCACTTCATATCTGTGACCAACCCTGGGGCCACTCTGAACCTGCCTTAGATTGAGGCCCCGGATGTCTCCCCCCAGCTGCCAAAATGACCGAAACTGCCCCCGCCCCCTGACGTCCATGTCTGCTGGAGAAGAGACCTGCTGCCCACCCCCTCCGCCCTCCCAGCTGGCCAGAGGGCTAGCATGCCCCCCCCCCGGCTAGGAACAACGCACTCACCTGCCAGGTGTGCTGCTCAATGCTCAAACTTTATCTTCCAGTCCTCAGCTCAGCCTGGATATTTAGTTGCGATTCATCAAAAACGACTCTGGAAGATTTACACAAAACGGGATTTCTTTCAATGCTACTGGGGAGCCCAGAGAATCAGCAGGACGGCTGGAGAACAGGGCCGCCACCACCACAGCCACCACCTGTTGACCATCGAGTCTTTGTGTCCCTGCTTATTCCCATCGCTAACTTCTGATTCAAAATCTGGATGGGGACCGTCTCATCGGCAGAGCCCAAGCCCCTCTTGCAAAAAAGGTTCAGGAACAGGTTCCCTGGCGCTTTCAGCTTTAACTCCAGGAAGGGGCTCTAGCCCAACAGCAAAGCAAGTTTAGATGGAGGTCTGAACACACGCCTCTTCCTTCCAGCCTCTGCACCCATCCCTGCAAGCACTGCTTCAGCCAATCAGGATCTTTGATGCATCCACCTCGGGGTCATAGGCATGTTTCTGAGGCCTACACGTTGGAGGACCAGGAAATGTATTTTTTTAAAAAATATATTTTATTGATTTTTTACAGAGAGGAAGGGAGAGGGATAGAGAGTTAGAAACATCAATGAGAGAGAAACATCGACCAGCTGCCTCCTGCACACCCCCCACACCCCCCACTGGGGATGTGCCCGCAACCAAGGTACATGCCCTTGACCGGAATCGAACCTGGGACCCTTCAGTTCGCAGGCCGACGCTCTACCCACTGAGCCAAACCGGTCAGGGCAGGAAATGGGTTCTTGAGAAGCGTCGAGGATGGAGGCTATCTCCACTCCCTGCTCTTGGCCAGGTGACACTTTCCTCCACGTTTCTTAGGACAGACACCGAGTGGATGTTTGGTGGAAGAAAGAAAAAGAAAACAAGAAAGGAAGAGGCCTTGGATAACGTCACCGCTCCCCCAACCCCTAGTCTAGGTTTCACTTCACACTCTGTGTTATATTAGCCGCTGCTCTGAGCCTCAGTTTCCCACCTTTTTTTTTTTTTTTTTTAAGGACCTGGCCTGGCTCACCCCCAGCACCTATGGCTCCAGCAGGGACGGGAAGGAGGGGAAGGGTGCGTAGCTGTGCATCTCCATGCATCCTGGGGTTGGCTGCCTGTAATGACAGTGTCCCAGAGCTGAGCTTGTGTAACAGGCGGATATACTGAGTGGGGCCGACTGTTTGCTCAGCAGCCGAGAGGTCTATAATTAGACTGTCACAACCTCAGCAAAAGTACGGGATCAATGTAATCAGAGAAGAAATGGAAAAGAACACAGCATCAGTCAAGGCCTCCAGCGGGTCCCCGCGGTTTCCGGAGCACTAATCGCGCAGGCGGAGCCCAAGTCCCGCTGTGGGTTTCCTCCTGGTGATGACCAGCTTGGTTTGGGCCCATCCTGAGGCCCCTCTCAGCCACCAGCTCTCCTCGCCTCCCCCTCCTCCCTCCTCTGCTCACTGAGTCTTAGCGATGAGATGAGAGTCCAAAGGAGGCGGGTCGCACCCACTCAGTGGCGGGGCCCCTCCAGTCCTCACCTGTGCATGTGGGGGTGAAGGCTTCCCTGGGAGTGGCTGGGAACCGAGACCCCAGGCGGGGAGCTGACCTCACAGCGCCCAGGACCTGATGACCGCGGTGATCCAAGCACTCATTTTTCTCAATGTCCTCTCAGCACCATATTAGTGATTCCTAACCATTCATGAGATTTGGCTACTGTCCCTTCCAGCGTCTCCTCCCACCACGAATTTGCAACTCCTTTGCCATCTAAAATTCAAACTCCCAGAGGGGGCTTGGCGCCAGCGACTGTGTGGGCATGTGCTTGCCCTCTGGTGGCTTCTAGATTGGGACCACAGAGCACAGGTGCTCAAGGGACAGCAGAGGGGGGCCAAGAGCCTGAGGCCTCCCGGGTAAGCAGCAGTGCGACCGTCCGCCACAGCCGCAGATCCGTCCCCGCCCGCCCGAGGATCCCTTCCCATCAAGCTGGTGCCGTCCCTCCCAAAGCACGAGCCAGGACTGTGCTGTTAGAAAGCCTCTCTCCCCAAGGGCTTGTTTCAGTGTGAGAAATCCTAAAATGATCCCAGGCCTGGTGCTTGCAGACGGTACAGAGGTTTTGTAACCACATTGGGGTTCTCACCACCCACCTGGGTGAGGTGGCACCTCTCCCCTGCTCTTGCTGGGGTGTGTGTAGGGGGGGGGAGGGGCTGGGACCATGGATGACTGCAAGTCCCAGCAGTAAGGGGGTGACCCACAGGAACTGCTTGCCAGCGATGTTCTGATTGTACCGAGTCAGCACGCAGGACCCACGCTGGGGACAAGGCTGCCCCTGGAAGGAGGGAGGGTCCCATCTGTCCTGGTGTCAGTCCCGGGGGAAGAGGTGTGTTTCTCAGACTGGAGTCAGCTGGGCCCTCGGGGAGGAAGGCCTTCCCCAGGGTCCTGACCTGAAGCACCACGAGAGGGCTTCCCATCGGGGGCAGTGAGTTTGTGCCTTCGTTTAGGATACTGTTCTGCAAACTTGAAGACTGTGGAGCCACCTGGGTTCTTGCTGAAAGGCACCTTCCCATGCTCCAACCAAGGCTCCTCTTCCATGGCTTGGGATGGCACTCCCGGTCCTTCCCGCCGGGATGAGCAAGGACTACCCCTACGACACCCGGTCTAAGGGGAAGGTTTCGGTGCCAGGTTGGCCGGCATTCGCAGCCTGGAGGCTGTGTGGCCTCGGGCGAGCTCTTTACTCTCTCTGTGTCCCAGTTTCCTCTTCTGAGAAATGGGAACAATAGTATCGGCCTCATCGGGCCTCTAGGAAGAGTACGTGATCGGAGGTGCTGCTCTCCATGCACAGGTGGCAGAGTGTGACTGACCACCCCTCGCAGACCGGGACCCGTCCAGGGGCCCTTTTTGCAGGAACAGAGCATTAGCCCTAGTGTCCTGAGGAAGCCAGCTAAGGCTGTTCCATTCGGAACCGGCATCAATAAACAGGTCCACCCCAGCACGCCCCGCCCCACCACCTCCTTTCTCCACCGAGTGGACCAGCCCTCTCCTGGAAGCCCCTGTGCCTCACAGGCCTGTCTCCCCACCCCCACCCCCACCCCCACCCCCACACAGGACACAGCAGCAGGGACAGCACAGCTGGGCAGAGGCCTCCCGCATGCACCGTGAGCGTTCCAGCCTTACCTGTCTGGTTTTTCAAGTAGGATTCCAAGAACGGGTGTCCAGCCACTGGAGAGCTAGAATATTCTGTGCAGTCAGTCACATATCCAGGCCCACTGGGAGGTGGCCCCATCAGTGATTGGCTGGTTTTATGCACACTGATATTGGAGGACGGCTGCTTTATATATTTTTTAAAAAAATATATTTTATTGATTTTTTACAGAGAGGAAGGGAGAGAGATAGTTAGAAACATCGATGGGAGAGAAACATCGATCAGCCACCTCCTGCACATCTCCTACTGGGGATGTGCCCGCAACCCAGGTACATGCCCTTGACCGGAATCGAACCTGGGACCTTTCAGTCCGCAGGCCGACGCTCTATCCACTGAGCCAAACCGGTTTCGGCTGCTTTATATATTTTTTATTGTTGATAGTGTTCCAGAGGAGGACGGCTACTTTAGACAGAGCACCTGCTAGCTCTCCCACACTCCCTTAAACATCATTTGGTCTGCGAGGATCAGAAAATTACCTTAAAATCTTGTAAAGCTCTGTTGTCCTTCTTAGGAATGATGATTATCATTGTATCCGAGAATCCCCAAACTGGCCTTTCTACTAATTATATCAGCGTCTACCTCATTAAGCTCCAAGCGCTGGCAAACACCCAAGGATGATGTCCATCCTGCACAAGCCAGCCCCGGGGGGACACCTGGGCGGGGAGGGCTGGGAGCCTGGCTTCCCGGGGCGGCTCCCCCAAACTTGCCGTGTGACCTTGGACAGTCGCTCTGGAGCTTCAGGGGGGCCCATGCACACGAGGAGCCGCCGTCCCGCGGTCCTGCGCCCTTCCACCTGGGGTCTGCATGCGGGGGGAGGCCTCATGCTTCCGGAGAACGGTGCTTGGCCTCGGCTCCAGTTCACGGGCCAGAACCCATCCTCGCTGCCAGTGATCCGATACAAAATACATGTCTATTTGTTTTGCTGAGCGAATTCCCCGGGGCGGCTGTCCAAGCGAGCAGAGCTGGTGGTGATGGAGAAAGCCCAAGATGAGGGCATAGTTTCCAGTGCCGAGAACATGAGCCGAGTCTTCCTGACGCCAGGACAGTGAGAGGCAGTGTGGACAGCGCCTCCGGGCACCCGCTCGCTTGGCCTGGCCCGCGCCTTTGTCACCACGCCGACAGGGTCCCCCTTCTCTGGAATTGTGCAAGGGCACGGTCACACTGGTGCGCGGGGAGGCTCTGAGGGGAAGGCAAAGCTTTGGGGCAGAGCTGACCTGACCTGGGTTGGGTTTGTCTCATCTCCCCCCTCGTCCTAGAGCCTGTCTCCTCCCGTTGGGCCCGGCCGGGAGCTGCAGAGGAGGCTGGAAACGGGAGAGGCTGCCGTGGTAAAGGCAGCCCTGGTCCCCGGGTTGCTCACAGTGATTAAGGGCTCACTGTACACCAAGGGCCGTTTCCTGGAGGAAGGATGGTTCATTCACTGCAGGAAGACTGAGGCAGAGAGGCTGGAGCACTCGGCAAAGCCAGGGCCTGGTGAGCCGGAAGAGAGAGACCTGAATCGGGCCATCTAACTCCATCGGCCACTCTTGATGAGCAAAGTCTTTCTGGAATTTTTGAGGGCAGGGTGTCCTCCAGACACCCCCTGGGCAGCCCTGAGCACCCTGCCTCCACCCCCGTCCTTGGAGCCGTGGCCTGGAGAGGAGCCGACTTCCTGTGACAAGTTTCCGCTATCTGCACAGGGCAACCTGATTTGCTCCTTTACTCCCGCAGCCTCTGCCCTCCTGGTCCCAGCTTCCTACATGCACCTCCGCCTGCCGTCTGGGGAGACTGTGAAAAGATCACTCCTTGAACCCACCTTCTAAATTAGAATCTTGGGGAACCCCTGACACAGAGCACCAGCTTTGAGGCGGAAAGACCTGGGCTCAGGGGCCAGGCAGCCGCAATAGAACCTCCGGAGCCTCAGTTTCCCCTGTAAAATGTGGGTGACGACACCTGCCTCATCCGTGCCACAGCGTCATCGCGAGGGCACACGGCGATCACGTAGTGACAGCGTCTCAGGAAGTTGAATAACCACTACATTCCCAGCCTCCACGCTCAGCCCGTGGCCAGCATCAGCTCCGAGGTCCAGGGGGCAGAGGAGGTGCACAGATGCTCGGGAGCCCCAGGACCCTGGCCTCGCAGCCGCAGGCCCAGGCCCCGGGCTCCGCTGAGTCAGCGCTGAGGCCCCCGTCCAGGCGCTGGCGTCACGCGGGTGCAGCTCGGTGCCCAGGCTGGAGAGTTCCAGAAACCAGGGCGGGGCCGAGACGCTCTGCGGAGCGTGAGAGCGGTTCCACGCAGAGGAGAGGCTGAAGAAACGTCTCCACTGGTAGAAACTGCCACCTCGGTCTCTAGGGGGACGGGGAGCCCCAAGGTCACTAGAACCTTCA